TGATCCAGGCATCAACTGTGTCTTTGCTGTGGCTAGAGTACCTGCTCCTCAGGACAGACCTCTGCAGCATGTGATTCCTCTCTCCTTATAGGGCCCAGGCCTAAGCTCTGCTCTCAGCTGTTGTTCAGTGAGTGAGTGACATGCTCAGGGTAAGGTCACTTCCACCACAGCGTGGCCCAGTTCCTGGAATTATTCAGCAGTAGAGTCCCAGAGAGAGGTAGCAGCAGGATTAAGCCACTCTAGGTCAGAAGTTCAAGGACCAGGAAGGAAGATCCAGTAGGTTCCTTCTGCAGAGAAAGCTCTTTGATGAGAATAAGCTAGAGAAAACCTTAAGAACTGTTTAACTATTTTTTCCATTGGACTGACCGTTAAACTATCTCTTTCTCATACAGCAGTCTCACTCATCACCTGATGTTTCTGGATTATAATTAAAATAGCATTTTGGGTTGAGTAGCTAATGAGGGTAAATACATCTGTATTAGAACTTTCCAACCAGGACTGGGCAGCTGTTGAGAAGAGGCAGAAGTGAAGAATACAAGAGTCTAAGAGCATGACCAGCCAGGATGAGATCCAGCTTTATATTTTTTACCTGAAGAAATAAGGCCCAGGGCTTTGGAAGCAGCCCTTGTGTCAGAAGCATCCAGCTAAGCCAGGCCTGAGCCTCTGCCAAAGTTGATCTGAGCAGGAGGGAAACCCTGTGTTCTTAGAAGGAAGAGGATCAGTTGATCACGGGGTGACTTATCAAGAAACCAGGTTCTCCTGGGGTGTGCCCGGTTAGGCAGTAATGACCTAATCCAATCATGCTCTACAGTGGGAGAGATAAAGAGACAGGAGGGGTGACTTCAGCAAGGTTCCCTATGGACCTGCCAACCCTGGAAGAACCAGTACACAAGGTGAGCTCCAATTCCCTTTTGCTTTGCAATAAACTAGTCTTTGGAGGTCATATGGGTGTGTCGTCTCCAGCTATGGAGTACTCTGAGGGGAAGCCCAGGCATCTTGGCACACAGAAAATCCATTCCTACTCTGCCCTGTTCAAATTCTAGATTCCTGACTCACAGAATCATTGAGCATATTATAATGGTCGTGTAAGCTTCTAAATATTAGGACTGCAGCAATATTAACTGGTACATTTACCTTACCTCAAGAGAACACATTTTTTCAAAGAGAAGAAATGATACTGGGCTTCTCAAAGAACTGAGCATGAGAAGATTACCTGAACTCTCCTTTTGGAGCCTCCTCTCTGCTCATCTGCTTTGGTGTTCTCCACAATCCACCATCCTTTAGTCCGCACCACAAATGGAAGATTTCTTCCCACAGCTCCCATGCACATCTGCTACAGGTGGTGTAACTGGTCACATGTCACTTGCCCTGGGCCTAGCCTGGGTCAGGTGTCCATCCCAGACCTAGTCCATGTGGTGAGGCTGTAGGGCCATGTGATATGCACGTGTATGGAAGACAAGAGGTCACTAATGCTAAATGAATATGGTGCGGGGGGGGGGGGACAGAGACACCTTGAAAGGCATTCACTATATTCTCAGAGGCAGAGCCCTTAGAACAGATGCTGTTGATGCCCCATCCCATATTCTCTTGGCCTATCACAGTTTGCCAATAGCTGAGGCACAGTTCCCCGCAAGGGTAATAACCTTCCCATCTCCCTTCTCCTTTGCCTGAGAGCTTTATCTTATCAGGGATAGTTGCTTTTCTGCAGTTACATAGCCCAATCTTAAAGTACATTAGAATTAACACTCCCAGGCCAACCTTCAACCAATTCAAGCAAAGGAGGATGGGAAGTATAAAGTCCCACGCCCTGTAATCCTTAGGAAGATCCTGAGCTGTATCACACATTTCATATGGTTTCTTAGAGAGTCCTAAAAGTGACTGAGCCAAGATATCCACATGGTAATGGACTCGTGAGTGAACCCTTTATCCCATTTCTCCTGTAACTGGCTTTCTTCCATTTCTCAATTTATTTCTGCACTTGTGTTTCCTGGGATCACTTCTGAGATAAGTGTGGTGAGCTGAATAGCGCTCCCCCCGCCGTTCAATCCACTATGAAATTTATGAATTTAATGTATAACATGGCAAAACGGATTTTACACAGAATTAAGGTTATGGACCTTAAAATAGATTATTCTCAATTGTTTGGGCAGACTCAGTCTAATCAAAGGAGTCTTTAAAAGTAAAAGGCAGACTCAGCGCGGTGACCCTCACACCTATAATCCCAGGACTTTTGGAGACCAAGGTGGGCAGATTGTTTGAGCTCAGGAGTTTGAGACCAGACCGGGCAACATGGGGAGACCCTGTCTCTACAAAAA